ACGACGTACTATCGATTTTCTAAAATAAATCAAAAGAACCTCGAGTTTTTCTTCTTTATTCTTGGTTCAAACCGTATCACTTTTTTGGTAATAAAAAAGTATTAAAAAAATGTTGCGTTGTCGATTTTTTTTTGTTTTTCAGTTGACAAGCAATGCTTGTTGTTTACCAAGTCGTGATGATATATCTTCTCTACGAAACGGTTCATTACTCTGATTAACTTGGTGTGATCTATTTGTTAGTTTCAAGTCGTCCTGAAATAATAAAAGGAAAAAATGAGAAAAATGAGAAATATGTTGATTTGTTGAACAATGTGAACAAGAGTCGTTATTATTTCCCAAAGCGTGATCTCAGTGACTCTGGTGCATTTTGTTTGTGTTTAATGAGAGTATCTCTCTCGTGTGGGTGAGTTCGTGTTAATGAGAGTATAAGTTCATCGTGCGATGATGAGTGCATGTGTTAATGTGTTGATAACCCATGATATTTTCTTACAGGATCGACTGTACCACATCCAAGTGATGAATACACATATGTTTCATGTGTTTGAATTTGACCATTTTTGATTTTCTCAAAAAGTTTATTTAATTTTTTGTTTAAATCTTCAATTTCTTTTTTACGTGGATCTATATCCTCTACATCATAGTCTAACTGTCGTTTTTGTTTTAAAATACGTTTCTGAATCACTTGAACTAAATCATATCGACGAATTTTAGCTAGTGCTATAAGAATATCATCCATTTTTGCTCGAGTATGATAACGACGCCATTTCGTTAAACAATCAATTGCTTGATGCTAAATAAACACACAACTTAGGCAAAAAATAATTTGTATACAAAGTTTTTAATATTAGTAAAAGTATTCCCTTTGTGCTTTTATTGTTTACTGCAATAATTCTTACGTGATATACATCTCCTCTGTGATATTTATGATCAATATGTTTGATATCATTTGACTTTTCTTCATTTCCTCTGCATGGGTAAAACGGTAACTGCCAATACAGACGGTTCCAATCTCGACCAATAGATTGGGAAATTAAACGAAGTGCTTTGGATAACTCATCTAGAAGACGATAAAAATAAAGAAATTACACTAGATGATAAACTCGATTAATATTATAATTTTTTCACATTTACCTTCTTCGACGATATTTCCATTTTGATCTTTCTTATTATTTTTTGATTTCACAGGTATATCGTAGTATATTTTTTGTACGAGATCATTAGAAGATCTGAAACGATGAATTTGTTTCATTAAATGAAGACATCTTTCGACTCGATTTAATTCATTTTCTTTTAATATTTTATTTTCTAATGCTGTTTGAACTTCGCTATCTAATTGTTTTAAATGACGTTTCATTTGTTCAATTTCTTCTTTTCGTTGTTCAAAATAGTTGAGACGTGCTTTAATTGTATCAATGATGAATTGTAATTTGGGCAGTTCTTTTTCAAATTGTTTTATTTCTTGTTGAAATTTTTCAATTGACAACTTTGATTCAACATATTGATCAGGATGTTTGATCATTTTTTCACATTGTTCCTGATAAACTTCATAAGTCAAACGTTTTGACAAATAGAGACGATCTTTATCACCCAATCTGTATTCTAATTCTTCACGTTTAAACCGACCATCATCATATTCTTGATCCAATTTTGACGTTTGTGTACGATATGAATCAGCCTGAGAACGAGACAAAATAGAGCAAGTCTTGTAGTTTTTACAAATATTTGACGTAAAACTAAACTTCAATTTATTAAGACGACTTACATCTTTGTCAATTGTACCTTAAAGTGAGTAGTTTAGTTGTAGATCATACCTGTCTATAGTGTGCAAAAAATGTTGTCATTTTTTTAAGGGAGAGTCACGTGTCCTCTATACTTTCCTCTATATTGAAAAAACTTTTAAAACTTGCTGTTGGATAGAAGCAGTATATTTTATTTAAAATTTTGTTTTTAATGTCAAAAATGAAATTGCAGCTTTGTCTAGAAACTTTTTTAAAAACTCCTGTTGAATGAGTTCTTCGGATTTCTAGGGAGCTTACTCAAGTTTTCTGGAAAATGGAAGAATT